GCGGTAGACTGGAACTAGAACAGCTCTTGTTCCAGAGCACAGGAGTCTGATCGAGGGGCACTGTCACTTCCTGACTCACGGTTGGTAAGCAGAGGAGACACAGGAGGGCACACAGCTCTTGGTTCGCTTTCTGCTTTCACTCCAAGACCGGTGTGCTGAACTGTGAAGTCAGCATGGCATTCACTGGCTTGCTCGGCCCAGGTAAGGCTGGGGGGCTGTGCGGGGATAGAGCAGTACACACCACACCCCCTTCCCCACATGCACCAGTGCCTTTGCCAGAGTCAGGAGGGAAAGCTCAGAGAGGGTGGTTGTGTCCATCTCAGGCTCCCTAAGTCCCCTCCCAAGACACGCCAGTGAGGACATAGGAAAGGACAGTTGCCACGGTTGGTAGGCTGCTGTCAGCGTTGGAGGAGGTGATAAATAAGAAATGTGACTCATCCTGACAAGTGTCGGGCGCACAGGGGAGGGGTGCAGGCTTACACCTTGCTGTAGCACTGCTCTCGAGATGCTGCTGACTTAGCACAGCCAGGAACTGACAGGCCCTGCCATTGTCCCTCAGTGTGAAGACATGCCTGGCCCAAGGCTGTGGGGACAGAAGGGCCTCTTAGGGCTTAGAAACACGGTCAGTCAGGTCGGGTGGGACAGAGCCGGGGTTTAATTCAAGGACGTAACAGCAGTAAAGAAGGAAACTTGTATCTTTAGCAAGTTAGTAGGATGTTTATAATTTATGGGTATAGGAACGAAATAACACTTCATCCAGAATCTTATGAGGAGTTTGAAAAAAATGAGTGCCAGGTCGGGGATTTAGCTAAGTGGCACTGTGCATGCCTCACAAGTGCAAGGTCCTGAGTTTGATCCCCGGTACTAAAAAAAAATATGAGTTCCCTCTTTGAGGTTAAAATGAGATTTTAAAAACGAATAATGGTTTTTACACCAAGACCAGTAAGAACAGGACTTTGATGTGGCAGGAGGAGTTTCAGGTTCTGCTCTTCTCAGGCTTGCACAGTGCTTGTCTCGTTCTGGGATTCCCATGTTAGAAGGAGTGTAGAGAAGTTGGAGAAAGTTTGGAGAAGTATGTGCAGCAATACTAAAATTTTGGGAAGTAAAAATAATTTTGATACACGTATTTAAATAAAACAGGGAGTTAGGAGAAATATCCCCGTGCTTAGAGGTTTAGCTACCAAGGCAAAGGGCTAGATTTTAATATGTAAATCTGACAAAAAAGGAAATTATAGTCAAGATTAGAAACTCAAGTGACTGGTGAGTAAACAGACATTGTTAGAATAAGAAATCAAGAAATTATAAGCAGTCTTAATTATATGCCAACTGTTTAAGCTTTACTTAAACTGAAATTGGAAAATGAAAGCTATTTGACAATGTATGGGTACAAATCCAGAGGAAAAAAAACCCCAAACGAAACATTATATAAATGCTCTTAACAATGTAGACACTTACATCTATTAAATGCGACGTATGTTTTATACTTGTAGACCTCTGCAGTCAAGTCTAATTAAAGGCTACACAAAATATTTAATGTGATTGGTTTCAACAGTTTAAATTAAACCCACAGTATTGATGTGAAACTGAAAAGCCCGTAAGCCGTCAGCCACAGCACATGTAGAGGAATGACTCCCAGGAGACGTCATTTGGTTAACAGAAAAAAGAGAGGCAGTTCTGGAGTGCTGCTTATGTTCAGATCTGAGATGAAGAATGAGGTAGTTCTGTTCTTCCATTGTCGGATCCCGTACTGGGTTGTACCCTGCACTGTAATAGTGTTAGAGCAGGAAGGCGTTGTAGCGGTGGGGGCCCAGGCTTGTTGGACAGATGAGCAGGGTGAGGCTGGAGAGCCATGGCTGGCCTGGAAGGTCATTCGAGGGCTTGGAAGCGCTCCTGCAGTGCACAAGTGGGGACCTGCGGGCACTGCACAGAATCTCCTTGTGGCCCACTGGTCACGCCAGTTTTAGATAGCTACCCTATCTAGCTGTCATTAAGCAAACCAAAATATGTCATTGAATCCAAGGAGTGAGGGGTTTGCCACCACAAGCCTTGTGGATGTGGCAGCCTTGGGCTAATGGGCCTGCCTCATGGTGACATAGCCGCGGGGCTCTCGATGACTAGTGATGATGTGTACCTTGTGACAGAGGGTGGTGAAGATTCACCTTCCAGAGCTGTATACTCCAAACCGTGAGTCCCTGCAGTTCGGAGCTCCACCCTGCAGAGGAGTCCACCGGCCGTAATGTTTCCCACCTCCAAAGGCATCTTGTCCCTGGCTTATAGTTGGAAACATCTGCCTTTACGTCTTACAGTAATGACCAATCTGCGTGTCACTGAATTACCACAAAGTTGTATAGAGAATGATGCAACCATTTTTGAGTCAGTCTGTCCCTTTCTTTAACCTAAGGAAAGCTCTTACATTTCTCTAAGGAAAGGGATCTGTATTCTGGGTGCTTTTGTTTAAATGTATGTATTATAGAAACTAGTGTCTTTAAAGTTCTCTTAAAATTATGTATACTATTTGCTGAATCTATGTGTAGCCAACAGCCATTTATAAACATTTATCTGTCTTATGCAGCCTTTTTTTTTTGGTACTGGGGATTGAACTCAGGTCCTTGTGCTTTTGAGGCAGGCATGGCGACGCTGAGCTACATCCTGATCCTCTTATGCAATCTTTTAAGAGACCCTAATTGATTACAAATGAAGCAGAAAAAAATTATCACTAAGGTGAAATATTTCCAAAGGTACTGGTAATAATTCTCCTGGAACCACTTGAATTTTTTTCTTTTGTTTTAGGTGTTCTTCCTAGCACCGAGGTGTACCATCTATCCCTGACCTCCCCTCTTGTGGAGAAAAAGAATTTAGAACAAAGTCACTTCATCTTGTTGTTTTTTCCCCTTTTGAGATAAAAAAGTAAACTACATAATTTGCTACCTTTTCTGACTTCTGAGTGGAGTGAGGGTTATTTTGATTACATAATATAGTTTCTCGCCTGTTGAAAATTTGTGTGGTATTTTTAGACCTTTGAAAGGGCAGGCAAAAGGGCCTTTTCTTACAGTTTTCAGAATTTTTCCATATCCTGTTTGATGTGTGGTTAGATCAGCTGATGAGTCATGTGATGTTTTGCTGTTTCAAATGACAGAAATAGAGATTCAAAATAACCACACAGAGGAGTATCTCAAATGTTTACCAAATACACTGCTCAAAACATGCTTTTCTACGGTTCAGGTGCTTTTTATAGGAGAGCCCTGTGTGCAGTGGCCGTATGTAGAAGGTGTGCAGCAGACCTCTCCGGCCCACAGTCACTGCATCTTCCAGAGTCCTGCCACAGACTGCAGTGCAGTTCTGACTGCTAGCAAAGGTGGGCACAGAACCAGAACATAAAAGACCCCTTTTCCTGCACTGTGCACTGGTTTCGTGGATGAAGACTCATTGTGAGCTTGGGAGGCAGCTTAACTCCAGTACCAGAAGCCAGAAACCATGGCTGGAGGGTACGGATCAGCACATGACACCCTGGGCACTGGTCTCCTGGTAGAAAGCTTTCTTTCTTTTTTCTTTTTGGTACCGGGGATCGAACACAGGATTTTGCACTTGCAAGGCAGGCACTAGAACAACTGAGCTAAATCCCCGGCCCAGAAAGCTTTCTAAATAGAAGAAAACATTTCTCAAGATAATGTGATTCAATTACAATAATAGAAATACTTTGTTTTCACAGACACACACACACACACACACTCTGCTTCAGTTTGAAGGGGAAAATAATCAGAGCTACTGAGTCTTTAAATGGGTGTTTCTGGAAGCCAAGGGTACAGAAATAGTTCCTCTCCCCCTGCCCTTTCCCTTTAGAAGATCCCCAAATAAGGAACAATGAAGAGGGTAGGGAACTGCTGACTCTTCTCTCAAGGTGTAATGAATAGCTCTTCCCATAGTTGGAAGGTGTTGGGGTTTTCTCAACCCTGCCAAATCCAGAAAGGGCAGGGAGGATATCCTGGGAGGCTGGAGACCTGACTCCTGCCCCCCACCTTCCTCCTGGGCCTCTGGCCCCCTGTGCCTCCCTAGCTTAGTTATTGGGAAGACTCAGAGTATAGTACAAAGTGCTGTAAGTATTGCACCTCAGCTTTACGTGGCTTCAGCTGATCTATCTTGAGCCAATTTGAAGTGTTTCAGCTTTCGAAGCCATGTAGACACTTGGAAGCCAAACTGCCTGCTAACACTAAAATCCAAAACCAAAGGACAGGAGCACCCTGGGCCCAAGACAAGCTGCAGAACAAATTGCAGCGGGCTCAGAAAACCAGAGGCCACCAGAGGCTGCTCTGGCCTTGGCATGGTCTGAGAAAACCCTCCTAGAAAGGCTATGCTTTGAGCTGCCCAAACTAATTTCTCAGCATCTAGGTGAAAAACTGCTTAATGCCCGTATAATTTTGGATTGCATGTGTCTACAAGCAGTTGTTTATCCTTGAGAAAGTCACACAAGTCTTTCCACCGTCCTTGAGCTGAGAATCTCATAGGCACGGTGCCCATCTAAATATATCTGTCAGCTGAACGAACTGCTCAGAAATAAATGTGTTGGGGGAACATTTCTTGGTTTGGTAAAGCTGAAAGACTGTTCCTAATGACTGAAAGTGGGGAGAAACCCTCCCCACCTGTGTCCATTTGATGATGGAATTCTCGGTGAGAACAGAAGATGCCCGCTTGGGGTTCTGCCTTGGTTCAGGGGCTTGTTGGGCCCTGACACAGCAGCCCAGGGGAAGGAAAACTGCAGCCCTGTAGCTGCAATCTGGGACTGATCGTGCTTCCTGGGCTCTGGGAAACTTAACACAACACAATGGCTCAGTAATCTTTATCACCGAAGGCATCTCTGGAGTTATAATTACACCTTCTAATTGCTTAGTGAAGAGTCGCTAGGTGATCTTTCCTGGATGGCGGGGCGGGGCGGGGGGGGAGGATTTGCTTTTTCAATTTGATCTTTAAGTTCTGACCCCAGAAGCATGAAATAGTCACACATGTTAAAAAATACTGCTGTTTAATTTTCTAGTCATGTACTTTAAAAAAAGCCAATACAATTAGATGGGTTTTTTCAGTCTTTTCAGATCTGCCCCTGAAACCACCCCAAAGCAGCTATGCATCTTAATTTTCAGCACTTATAGATAAAAATGGAGAAGCCACTTGGAGGAAGCACACAGGGACTTGTCCCTGTGGTAGGCACATCCGAGGGCACTGGGTATCCAGATGTGAATGAAACCCTGTGATGTCCACCGCCGATGTCACGCCCTTAGTCTTGTTTCTGTGTGGAACAGTATGGTTACACAGCACTGAAGACGACCAGCAAGCAAGGCCTCTTCTTTTTCTCTTTTGCCCTTCTGAGCATCCTCATACCCATTGTTGTCTACACCAGTGGACCCATTTATTTCCAGTTACCCATCATGGAAAATAGTTCTCTTGCATTTACCAATCCTTACATTCATATACAAATGAGGGAGTTTGTAAAAATAAACTACACAAATAAGATATGGCCACTGATACAATTCTACTGTAGGTATGCGAGCACGCAGGCAATCACCATATTGTATTAGAGACATTTTATTGAAAATGCGAAAATAGGAAATGTATTATAGCCTAAAATAAATTACATAACATATACAGCATATATTTATATCTTTAAAATATTTTTTTTGTTTAGGTTCTTTCAGTCTAGTTATTTTGACTAAATCAAGAATTTAGTGACCTGTGTCCATAATTTTTTAAAGGAAAAAACCCGCTTTCCAAAACTTAGAAAAATATACTGCACTAAATGGACTTCCAATGCATTATTTCAGGGAATATCACATAGTGACTTTGATAACTGTTTATAAAATGTCTTGCTTTATGGTGTGTGAGACAGAAGTACCGTAGTGCACTCTGAATTACCTGTACCGCAAAGTTGTGACTAGGAATGGCAGAACCAGGTAATAAATCTACTTCAAAGGTTATGAGAGAGCAATCTGGCATTAGAATGCTGGATTATGACTTAAAGCTTCAGTTCACGGTAAAACTAAATGGGAAGCTAGAACACACCGTTTAACTCGCTCTAGTGCCACCTTCAGGAGAGGCAGGTGAAAAGCAAGCCTTCGGGGAAAGTCATGCGGAAGGGTGCTGGCGTCTGGAGGTGGGCTTGTGCGACAACTTTAAAAAGTTAACTTGTGCATACACACAGTGGGGTGTGACGGCTCACTCAAACCTAGGAAAACACGTGAGATGCTGCTGCTGTTGACCGTGTCCGCCTGCTACTCTGTGGCATCCAGACCTTCCTACGGAGATTATGTCATACATACATCAGCCCGGCGCGGTCACAGATCTGGTGCTCAGTATGGACGACGACTCCGGCTGCAGCACGTGGCCACCTATGTGCGTGGCAGGCAGCTGATGAGTCCGTGGTGGGAGGGAGGTGGGGCTGGCTGCCGAGTCCATGTGCTAGGAGGCACGTCAGAGGGGCTGTGCCTTTACCTGCCGATTCGAAAGAGACAAAGGGAGAGTCTGCGGCCTGCTGGGCAGAGGCCCGCCAGGCGGTGGTGCAGCCGCAGTCCTTTGGTTGCAAGTGGCGATTATCCAGGGAGCAGAGACTTTACTACGAGGCAGCTGTATCTTTTGGGTTTTCATGAAGCAGGGGCACAAAGTCAGTGGTTTTGTGTTTCCAAAGCCACGGTGAAGACCTTTCCTTAGGCCCCCACATCAGTGTGAGCATACTCAGTATGCTAGAGGATTTACACGAAACCTTCAAGGCCTCTTTCGTTGAGAGGAGGAGAGAGGAGGAGAGGGGAGGGGAAAGAGAGGGCATGATGGGAGAGGACACGACGGGAGAGGCAGGAGACGGTGCTGAAGAGTCGTCCCAACGGTCCCCGCAGTGCCCCCTCGTGTCCCGTGCTTTATTCACGCTCCTCTCTCATTTCCACGACGTCTGTCACCTCCTCCGTGGGAGGCATGTCGGTCATTGCGGAGTCTTCCCCCTCCGTGGCTGACTCGTTCTCCATCTTCTTTTTCTAGATCAAAGAGGACTCGTCAGTGGGGCTGTGGACAGGGAGACATCACAGCAGAACCGTGACAGGGAGAAGCCACCAGGGTAGGGGATGGGGGTTAGCTGCAGACTCATTCCCCTTCCCTTTAGGGTTGGGGTGACTTCAGTAGGCTGCACCTTGGTTCAGCGCATTCTTGTTGCTTTGCTTATCTGTGAGCCTTGCACCGTGCTCGGCATGTTGGGGCCACGTCTCTCACCTTCCTGCCTGTGCCCTCTGAAACTGTCCGACACTGGCCCCTGCGGCCCTTTCAAATGAATGCAGATTGCTGTCCACTCCCAGCCCATGGTCACCTGCAAACTGCTTTCCTCCTCCCTGCAGGCCTGGGCTTTGAATCTAGAATGTCTACCCCTGTCGTGTCATCAGTTTTCTGGGGCTCACTGCAAGTGAAATCGCCACTTCAGGGTTTTCTAGCATGGTTAATACTCTTACTTAGTTTCTACATTTTTTAACTCTCTGGAGGTAACACTAGGATGCACCACAGTAGACATCTGGCCTTGTAGTTGTCTCCTCTGAGAAACATGACCGCTTTTGAATCAAAGTGCTATATACAGAGTCCACCGAGAAGGTTTGTACACACTTCAGCAGTTCGCTGCCCTAACAGACCCCTGGCAACTCATGGCCGTCACTTTGAGCACCTCTTGTAATTGTAGATACCAAAGGTAACTACTATTAATCTCATCAAGTCTCAATACATTTAGTATTAAACTATTTATGCAAGTTTTTCTTTTCCTGAAATGTGTGTGCATTTTTTTGGCGGACTCTGCAAATAATGACAGAAGAGTGACATCCTTGTTTTGTTACTAAATCTACGGAAGGCCCAGGCGATGGTGGCCCTGAGGGCTTCTCCCACAGCACTGACCCTGGAGTTGTGGTGGGCAGGGCAGATCCTGGGGGGACAGCGCCCACCATGGCCACCATCCCGTGCCATGTGTGTGGACATGGAGCTGGGCGCGCTGACGCCTGGGAGGGGACTGGGCAGCTCTGTCACTGCCTCTCACCTGTTTCCGGTAGACATAGCATGCAGCAATGGCGACCATGGTGGATTCTCCCACGAAGCCCGCGAGCAGGGAGCCCACGCCCAGGGTGGCTCCATGCACCCTGGGGACGAGAATGTGCAGGCGGTGTGAACATCTGTTAGAGGTTACGGCACAGCAGGGGACACCAACACCCAGGGGTCAGGCCCAGGAAAGGCACAGTCCAGAGACGGTTTGGGGAGGACTGATCCTAACACCCATCCTCGGGGGACCTAGAACAGCGCTGAGCCGCCCCCTCCTGCCACCAACATGGGCTCCTTGCGCCAGCATCAGCTCAGCCCTGCTGACCAGCCTTGTCCCCTCGGGCCTGGGAGCTCCCGGAGGCTGGAGACGACTCCTCCCTTCCCGCCTGGCTCCGGCCTGGAAGGTACCCACCGTGCCCAGTGGGCGTCACTTGGGAAGGTGCCAGCACACAGACACGGCTCCCAATGCCTGGGTCTACTGCGCGTGGGGCTTTCACCTGAAGATGCTCAGTTTGACCCTCAGCCCCAAGCCCCTGATGACATACCCCAGGTAGGGCAGGACCACGAGGCTGGTGATGAGTACGATGATCCGCAGCACGGAGCTGGGCGCCAGGACAAAGGTTTTCTTCAGGGTCATCAGCCACCCGGTGAGATGGGCCCTGACGGTGACTGAGAGTGGAGGCTCATCAGCCTTGCCGGCTGCCACCTGCTTCTCCAGGCCGGGCGTCTCTGATCCAGGCGGCAGCCGTGAGACCACCCCACTCCCACGGCTGGGACCCGGCCTTGCTGCAGGGGGTGCGGCCCCGCTTCTCAGTGGCTGGGGTGGGGCCGCAGGTTCCCCCCAAGTTCCCCCCCCTCAGCCCTAGCAGGTAGAGGGCGATGCAGCCGGAGCTTATTCCCCAGCCACTCCCCGCCCCACCCTGCCGGCCCCGCCCGCCCGGCTCTGGCCCTGCACTTCCAGGAGGGAAACCCCGAGAAAGGGTGGGCACGAAGCCTGGGCACGAAGCCTGGGCCAGAAGCCGGCTCCCTCTCACCAGCCAAGTGAGGCCAGGAGGTGCGGGCTGCGGGTACGGAAGGGGCGCTGCTGTTGTCCCCACTTCCCATCACGTCATCCTGAGCCGCCCTGACTGCTCCAGGCTTGGGCACCCCCTCCCCATGGTGCTGATCACACACGTTTCCTGCCCGCGTTCCCATCCAGCCCGATCCAGCTGGCAGCACACGAACCACAGAACGGCACCGCTGTGCGGAGCCCAGCCCTCTGCCCTTGATGGAGGGGGCTTGGTGAAGCCTGAGGAGGGGCTGGGCTTTGAAGGAGCCCCACCCCCCACCCCCCCGGCAGTGCCTCCGTGCTCCTGGTCACGACTGGTTCCAGGGGCTGGAGGCAGACCTACCTCTTCCTCGTTTGTGCAGTGCTGGATTGAACCCAGAGCCCCATCATTAAGCTGAGCTGCCCGCCCAGCCCTGTTGTTGTATTCTTGGTTTCACAGTGCTCCTCAGGGCGAGGTTAGAGCCGCAGGAGACTAACGACTCGCACACCAGAAGCACCTGGCCCTTCCCTGGGGGCCAACATGGGAAATGCGTGGGTCTTGTTCTAGTGTGGGCTCCTTAGGTGGCATGAGCTTTCCAAAGCTCGGCCCATCCAGTGTCTACCTGACAAAGGCCAGATGCCACCCTATCGTTCCTGTCACAGCTCAGAAGGTAACACTCACGAGACCTGGCCTCCAAAAAGGCTTAGTGCCTGACAGTGGGGACTGACTGTTGCCTAACTCGGGGACAGCACAGGTTGGCAGGTGTGTCGTCAGCCCTGGCTAATGACTTCTGGAGCTCATCTCTTAACCAGATTGTGGCTTTGTAGAATCTAGCTTCCAGGTTTAATGATTCAGCTCAGTGATGGTAAACCAAAGCTTTCAATGATACAAACAGCCCACTGCGGCACACGTGTCATAGGTTCGCCACTACTGATTTAGGTGGATTATTTTGGGCAATTTTTCTTTCTTTGGTGCTAGGAATTAAGCTCACTAAACATCTGAGCTACAGCCTCAGAACTGGCAATTTATTCCTGACTAGGTGATGTACTTGGTATGGAATTTAAAAGGTGCAAAAGGAAATACAGTACGAAGGTGTTCTTAATCATGCCTTTTCAGACCCTGTTCTGCTCCACAGCAATCCCTGTTACCAGCTTGGCGAATTACTTCTAGAAACAGAATACAGATAATTAAGCACTTGCTATACATACAGTGGTACCTCAGTTCATGAACTTAATTTGTTCCACAATTTTGGAAAAGATGGGTCATGTTTGTATTTGTGAGGGAAAGATGTCCCAGTTGTGTTTGTCAACTGATGCAGTTTGGAAACAAAACCCAAAATTCTTTGAAACACTTTTGTTTGTGAACTAAATTATTCAAAAACAAAAGCTTTCATAAACTGAGGCACCTGTGTGTGTGGGTGTGTATTAATACAAAGATATTACGTATCTGCTACCCATTTGTTATAACAATAAATACTCATAAGCCACTCCTCTGCCTGGTTTTCCCATTAATCTAGCACAACCTTACTCTTGTGTAGTGCACCTCATATTACTGAGTCATCTCGGTAAGGTCCAAACTGGTTTATGTTTTTGCTGTGGGAATTTTCCTCTCTGACTATGGGCTACCTGGCCTCAACTTTGCCCCTGGATTCTTCTTTTCTCCAACTTGTTTTCTTTCTTCATACAGCTCCAGGTTTCAGCAGTCTGCTCACTCTATTTCCTTTTTTTTTTTTTTTAAAACCTGTCACACAGTAAAACTGGCTTTTGGAATATATAGCTTGAGTAACTGCAATTCATGCATAAATTTGAGTACCCATCACCACAGTTAAGACAAATGACGAGCTTACTGTTCCCTCCAGAACTCCTCATGCTACTCTTTTGAGTCTCCTCTTTTTACTGTTTGAAACTTTGCAAAATAAGTTAGGCCTTTTTGATTTATTTCTTGAACTTTCAACCTGCTAGCTCGTGTCTCTGTATCCTTCTAATCTACTGTGGAATTTTATGTTTCTGATGGGGCGATCTGTTGGAGTGATGTGACGTTTCTGAAGACAGAAGACTGAGTTGGGCATGAGGGACAGTGGGAAGGAATCCTTCCGTCCTTACCTGGGACGGGGAAGAATGAGAAGATACGCAGAGGAATGACGCAGAGCTCAGCAAAGGCAAAGTCCACTCCAATGATGTCTATCAGAATCTTCTCGGAGACGTTGGGGGTCCAGAACATCACAAAACAGAGCTGGGGGCAGGCATTGAGCAGAGTGGTAAGGAAAAGGCAGATGAGTGAACTGAGCGGTGTCATGTGGAGCAGAGGTGGCAGAGCTGCCCGGTCAGGAGGCTGGCGCACCCGGGCCTCCACTGCATGGCCCTGGCTTGCTCTCACCTGCCAGCAGGGGTCCGGCCCACTTGCTGCACCTGGCCCCACGGATCCTGCTGTGGGCTGTATCTGAATGGGCAGCCTGGCTGAGGAGGGAGACGCGTGTGCTCCTGTCAGCGCCTGCCCCGCGTGCCGGAAAGCTCAGTCCATTCTGGGTGGACGTGCTCGTTCAGGTCATCTTTATAGCCTTACAAAAAAGCGTGACCCGAAAGCCTCTAGTATTTGGATGCCACACAACACATAACGAAAGAGCAAATCCTCATGAGCTTTTCTAGGTCTAGTTACCAGAACAAGGGAAAGAGCGGGGCACAACATTTAGAACTCTGAAAAGCCGAAGGAAGTGGAAAATGGAATCCTTAACTGAGGGGACTGGAGCTCTCTGCTCCTTTCCCTCCCCACAGACCAGGAAGTGTGGGGAGGCGGGGCCCGGAAGCCAGAGATTTGTGAATGGTTCTCCTGCCGCTGATGGGGCTGTGTCTCTCCAGACTCGGCAGGACATGGGAAAACAGGGTGCTGGCCTGGATGAGGGCAGAGCTATTACCTAGGAAACAAGGACTAAGATGGGTGACAGCTGCTAACACCTCCTCCTCCCACTCCCCCTCCCTCCAAGACCAGAACACAGGGAACCAGCTGAGTCCCCCAAGCAGGAGACCCAGAGTGGGCAGTTTCTGAGGAACCTGAGCAGACCAAGAGAGAAGACTTAATGCTCCTAAAAAGTGGAGGCTCCCAAGAAGCAGCTGTGGCCATCAGCAAGGCCTACCCAGGTGATGGATCCCAGCCTGGTCACAGCTTGCAAATGGCAGTGAGAGCGTTGCTGACAGGAAGGAGTGGACACCAAGGAGCCCGGGTTTGCATGAAGCCCTCTAGTGTGAAAAAGTCCAGAAAAGGGGAAGAGAAACCTTAGAGAAAACAAGGTAATACAGAGAGAGAGACTGTTTCACGCATACTCTGAGAGAGGTGGGGAAGAAACCAGATCCCCGAAACAACAGAATGGAAATGCTGATTCCTAGAACAAAAAAGGAGTGCAGACTAAGAAGATGAAGGCAAAAATGAAAAATCCACTAACTGAGAAGAAGATGAAGTTAGGGCAGGGTACCCCAAGACAGGGCCGAGGATGAAGGCAGGGAAAGGAGGGTAGATTTAAAAAAAACAAAGGTCTGGGCCGGGGATTTAGCTCAGTGGTTTCACCGCCTGCTGCGCAAGCACAAGGACCCGAGTTCGATCCCCGTATCAAAAAACCAAAAAAACCAAAACCCAAAAAAACCCCAAAGGTCCAACACTCGGGTAATAGGCGTTCCAGGAAGAGGAAGTAGCGCCCATCAGGAGGAGGCAGCACAGTGCTTGGGAAAGGCCCCTCAGGACGCGCTGCTCAACCAGGCCGAGGACAGGGCAGAGCAAAGCAGCTTCTAGCTTGAGGTTTCTCAGCACGACAGCAAGGAGACAGGGAGCAGTGGCTTGCAGGGGAGATGACTTCTAGATCTCTACACCAGGCTGTCCATCCAGGGTATTTAAAAGAAAGACATCTTTACTATTCATGACCTCAAACAATTTACCTTCCAAGCACACCTTTTGGGGAAGCTACTGGGTGTTTGCTCAGCTGAACAGCTCACACAGGAAACAGGACTGAACACAAGAAAAAAGCAAAGGGAAACGACTGAGGCAAAGGATCTGAGGAAGGCAATGACAGTGCGAGGTCGGTGGTGCCTCGCTGGAGCAGGGCGCAAGGCATCCAGGGACGCTTCCTCAACAGGGCGAAACAGGATTTGTAATGTGTCTGTACAGACGGTGAGCGATTTATATGAAGAAGGAAAGCAGGAATAACTTGGTGTCAAGTACACAGAAAGCTAAAGAAAAATAAATGTAGGGCCACTGTTAAGTCCAGGAAAAACTAGAGATGTCTAATAAAGGAAGGGAGCCAGGACTCAAATGTCATAATCTGTCCGAGGATTTACCATATTATTCCTGTTTAGCATAGGAACAATGCATCCACGAGTGGCAGAGAGCCTGTGGGAGCTGAAAGGGCCGTGGCCGGAGGCAGAGGGCTGGCAGGCTACTGGTGACACTCCTTACAGAACCAACTTCTAAGATTCCTTGTAGATCTTAAAAATGGAACGATACGACTTTGGAAGACAACGTTAAACACATGCCAACTCCATCAAGTATTTATCTTCTTTTCCTAAAATGTAAGTGATTCTTCTCCAAAATAAAACTGAATACATTATCAAGTGAATTTTGGTAGTGTGAGAGCAGAACACTGAAATTTTAGATGTAACATCTTTTATGTTTGGGCTAAGTTAAGTTTCATGGAATCAGGCTGGTACTATTTACTATGTCATGTTGAAACATTTAAAAAAATACCTTGAAGGATCTATTATAAATGTGTTTCACCTTATAAATAAACGCAAGAGTTTTTTCGTATGTTTTCCAGCATCTGGGAAATATATCCCACTAATTTTTTAAAAATGGCAGATGTGCTATTATTTAATCCTATTGTGAGCTGCCCACACTCACACCCTATTTTGACATGAAGGGAAAAACACTCCCTTAGATCCAGCAACTTCGAGCTCGGGGACTTCACTAATCAAGCGCCCCAGCTGAGTGGCTTGTCAGGATTTCCCGCTGCAAACTTGCCTGCCTTAGAATGGTGAGATGTCACTCATAGCTACAGCCCAGGAATGGTGGCAGTTTCATGTAACTCCAAAACAACACCAAGCATGGTGCTGGGATGCGATTCACTTCCCCATCTGTACCCCATCCCAACAAATAGATGCAACCCCCCTCCATCTTTGCTTTGCATTAGGCCCCAAATATTTCCCATGTCTGGAAGGAATCTGTGCCTTAGGAACCCAGAGCACGGCCATTCGTGTTTGCCTACTGGTGAGAATGGGAGACAAGGCCATGTTCTGCTCAGAACTTCAGCCTCCAGGAGAAGCGTCAGCATGCTTTATTTTGCAGCCAGGGGTAATCTGAATGTGAGATGATGCCTCGAACACACGTTGCAGTCTCTCTGGGCTTTGCAAAATCATCGTAAAGTGGCCTTTAAGTTATAACAAACCAAGGGGAAAGGAGAATGTAATTGCATGTCAGAGAGAAGGATGGTGTGTGCGTGCTTCTGCAGCAAACAAGCCAGGTAATTCCTCCCTCTGGCTTCTGCACACGGATAATGTTCACCTGGAGGCTCTCACTGCCTTATAGGAAATGATCAGCTATCCTTTGGAGCAGCGAGTTTAATAAGAGGATGGAGTGGTAGCGTATGTGCCCACATCACTTAAGACACCTGCATCGATGTCAGCTCACCTGGGCAGGTGACTACAGCACGACCATGATGTTAAGGTCTGATGGATCTCTAGTGGGAGCTTCCTGCACAGCAGCTCAGCACCACATTCCTGAAGTGTCATGTGTGACGCGCACTACTAAATCACTGTTTTCTACCTGGCGTCTCCTGTGCCTGGCATACCCTAAAGATCCCTTATCAAAGTCCCTTGTCACAGGGATGCCTCTTCAGAGTTTTCAGCCTCTACCCCTAGGTCTATTTGGGGGCTTCTGAGAGTGTGGAAACTGAAAGCTGCCATGGGCCCAGGGCTTGTAGAATCACTGGTAACTAACTACAAGAAAGGGATGCTGTGTTGATCAAAGCCACTTTTCTCCCTCTCCTTGAAGTCTGCTGTGCTTTGAGTATGAAAGTGCTGGGTCATCTTCCAGCAAATTCTTCACCAAGGCAATACATCTCACACCCCTAGAAACGACTAGATGCAACTCAAAGTTGGCATGGTGTTGCCAAAGGCTATGCGGCCCATCTGCAGGGCAGCTTTCTCTGAGCAAAGCACTGAGTCTTAGCACGATAATCAGACTACTTTAACTAGTCCGCTTCAGAAAACAGGATGCTTTAGAATTTAACCTGACAACATTTCAGGAAAAGTGTCACTGAGTTTACCCAGAGTGCTCTTGACTCAGAACATGCCCTTGCAGTTGACCATGACATGCTGTGTTCTCCAAATATTTGCAGAACCCAGGGATATTGACTTTTCCAAACCTGAATGCAAACCTAATAAACCACTGGCAACGAACAGGATTTGTTCCTCTAAGCAGCTGGCAGGCTGGGTTTTCTGCTGCAGTTTGCTGTCAAAATCATCTCATTAGGAAGCAGCCTTCAAAACAGAACAACCCACCCCATGCCCAGGTCTTCGTTTTCCTATTTATTTTCCAATCAGAGGAACCAGGGGTCCTTGTGGAAAAATGACTCATTCTAGAACTAGGGTTGGGACTATTCAAGATAATCATCACCCTGAAGTATCTATAGTGCTAGAAAGTAAGGAAGAGCTCAAAACAAAGCAATGGGAAATGCCAAGGGGACACAAAAAGGGCTCCCAGTGGCCAAAACTGGCACGGTTTCAACAACACAATAAATAATACAGTCTTGAGTTATATATCAAAGTATAAAGTAAACACACCCAAGTCCATACTGATATAAACAGACAAATGCAGGAGGGGACAAATGTGCACAGAATTCCAAGAGTTTCACTGGCTTTTCCCCGGGGTGGGTGCGCCCTTAAGTGTGGGTCGACTGTGGCAACTTCCTTCTAAAGAGCACAGTGTGGAAAGATGCAAAAAGGCAGCTCCACAGGCGAGAAACCCGCCAGACGTCACTGCCTAGGCCAGGTGGTCAATGTCAAGGTTAACAGGGATAATTCATGTTGAGGATTTGGACTGGGATTCAGAGAAGCCAGCTGCTGCAGAACATGGAAGCCCACCGCAGTGAGTGGCCACTTCTTCATGTCCTTGGAGAGCTCCGTCCCACAGGGAGACTGTCCAGTGCTCTGCTGAGGCTTCGTTTCCATAAGCGGATGGGCCATATTTCTGAG